GGAGGGGAGAGAAAAGGAAAAAGAAAAGAAACCTTATTTGCTCAAGGTTGCATAGCAGCCACATTCAACCCAAACTGACTCTAGGAATCCAGGCCCCCCATAAAGCTGTATGCCACTCCCTTTAATTTCTAGGAAGACATGCAGTTGAGCCGTGCATACAATCATTTGTCAAATTTGTTCAGGGCTGCACTTTGCTAGACAGAACCACAGTTTGTACAGGTCAGTGACTGCTTTGTAACGAAGTATGCCAGAGCATTGTGGCTTAAAATAACAAGAAACACTTACTCTCTCTCAAAGCCTCAAGGGGTTAGGAATTTGAGAGCTTTAGCTGTGTGGCTCCAGTCCGTGGTGTTTCCTGTAGTCAGAGGTTGGCTGGGGCTGCTGTCATCTGATGGCTTGACTGGGGCTGGAGAGTGTAAGCCCCCTCACTTGGCTGGTGAGTTAGTGCTGGGTTGTAGTGTGGCTGTGTCTTCACAGCACATGGGAGCTTGTTTCCCCCAAACTTAGCAACTTAACAGAACAAGGCAGAAGCTGTAATGTCTTTTATGATCTGGCCTTAGGAACCATACACTATCATTTCTGCAATGTCCTAGTGGTTCCCTGAGTTTACCTTATTTGTTTTGGGAGGGGAGAGTCCCAGTGTGTGAATACCAGGGGTGTGACTCATTGGGCACCACTGTGGTGGTTGGCACCATGACAGTCCCATGTATTGAGGGTTATCGCTCACTATACAAAGTGAGGTCATCATAAAAATGGTTATTTATTTGTTTTTATTATTTATTTATTGATTTTGAGACAGAGTCTCTCTCTGTCACCCAGGCTAGAGTGCAGTGGCGCGATCTCGGCTCCCTGCAATCTCTGCCTCCCCGGTTCACACCATTCTCCTGCCTCAGCCTCCCGAGTAGCTGGGACTACAGGCACCCGCCACCATGCCTGGCTAATTTTGTTTTTGTATTTTCAGTAGAGACAGGGTTTCACTGTGTTAGCCAGGATCATCTCAATCTCCTGACCTCGTGATCCGCCCGCCTTGGCCTCCCAAAGTGCTGGGATTACAGGCGTGAGCCACCGTGCCTGGCCGACTGTTCTCTCTTTATACATACACACAATATTAGTCATCTCATTCTTGGTTCATACCCCCTACCTACCGAATACCTCACAATATAGCTTAGAGATCTATCTATGTTGGTAAAAACAGATCTTCCTCATATTTTTCATTTTCAAATTATTATTATTTAAAATTTTTTTTGAGACAGGGTCTCACTCTGTTGTCCAGGCTGGAGTGCAGTGTTGTGATCATGGCTCACTGCAGCTTCGACCTCCCAGGCTTAAGCAATCCTCCCGCCTCAGCTTCTCAAGTAGCAAGACCCTGTCTCTTAAAATAATTATTAACA